TCCTCGGTATCACCTCTCTCAGCCACAGGGGCCTCCCCTTGCTGCAGTACTTCTTCCACATCTGCTGCCTCCCCTTCAGCACCTCCCAAGTCATGTGACACCTCTGTCAACTCTGAAGATGAGGACAACTCGATGGGAATGAGAAGTGGGTCATTGGTTCCCACCTCTATTCCAAGCGGAATGGTGACCTTGCTCTTCTCCCGCTCCGACCACTCCTTGAACATGAGCCCCAACATGAACTTGGCATCTCTGGTGGTGAAGATGGTGTTGGATTTTGGGTCCCACATGAGCCAGCCCTTGCTCCCCCGTGCAAGACCCAAATGAACAGCCCACACCGCCGCCGCTTGAAGCTTGTCACGCCTCTCCTTAGGGACATGCACGAGCCCCATGCACCCGAAGACACGAAGCATATCAACCAGGGGCTTCTTGCCACTCCACTTCTCCATAGGGACCCAATGCTGACCTCCCACATGAGTCAACACCCGGTTCTTGATGACGGTTGCATGACGAATAGCAAGGGGCCAGAACCGCAAGGGTAGACCCGAGTCCACCAATATCGTTCTCCCGCCCTCTATGATGGTCCGGTTCGCTCTCTCTGCCACGCCGTTGGATTGAGGGGTGTAGGCCGTGGTGAGCTGCTGCTTGATGCCATGCTGCTTCAACCAGCTCCGGAACTCCGCTCCCAAAAACTCCCCACCACGATTGCTACGAATCGCCTTCACCCGCTTGCCGCTCTCTCGCTCCACCATGGGCAGCCACTCTTCAATGATGACCCTTGCAGCATCACTCTTCTTTGCAAGTGGAAAAGACCAGGTGAGCCTTGTGTAATCATCCACCATAGTCATGGAATACAGGGCCCACCATCTCCCTTCACCTTCATGGGCCCCACAAGATCCACATGCACGAGCTCCACCGGGTCACTTGACTGCCCCACCGCCGAATGGAAGGGAAATCGTGAGAACTTGCTGGTCAAGCAAGTCTCACAAGAGCCCACCTCCTTGGGCTCCCCCTTTATCCTCAGCCCCTTGACTCTTTCCTCCTTAAACAGCTGCTGTAACTGAGGTAGCACCACGTGGCCAAAGCGACGGTGTGCGGTGAGCCAATCCGTCTCACCCGTGCTAGGAGTTACACTTGGTAGAGCACGCCCCCCATGCACAAGCAGCCCACCATCACTGCCATCACCACCTCCTCCACTGGTTACGTGGCTTGCATGCCCTCCTCTTACAGCTTCAGCAGCCAAGCGCGCAGCCGCCTCCTTCCATGGCAGCACCGGTATCTCCCACATGGACCGGTGCATGTCCTTGCCGCCTCGGAGGTCCCACAACACGCGCCCATCCAGAGTTGCCTTGAACACCTTTGTGCCCATCATCTCCATCTTCATCCCTGCCTCACTCAATGCCTTGGTAGAGAGAAGGTTGGCACATAGTCCAGGGACAAGAAGAACACGCTTCAGCCCCACAAGCCTCCCATCCGCACCCATAAACATGGCTCTCCCCTCGCCACGCACGGGTACAACTTGGCCGGTGGCTGAAACAACGGTGGCTGCCTTTGATGGCTTGACTTCATCCAGCAGATCCTCTCGGTTGGTCATGGTCATGAAGGCTCCCGTGTCGATGACCCAATGGGAGGAACGGTGAAGAGCAACCTTGCTGGCCGGTACAACCATATCCTCGGAGCATGCCTCTCCTACATGGTAGAACATGCCGCCATGTCCGCCGGCACCTCCATCGCCCTCCTCACTGCTAATGCCTTCTCCCATAGCTCCATCAACCCCCTTAGAGCCTTCAATTGATGGCTGACCAGGCCTCCAACCATCAGGTAGCTTGCGACACTTAAAACATGGGTGACCTTCCACATGGCAATACCAACACTTGCCGCCACACCGCTTGCCTCCCTTGTTGCTACGCTTCCCTCCTGAATACTGCTCCCCTCCAGAGCCTTCCTTGGCCTTGCCTTTCTTGCTGCCACGTCCCTTGAACCCTTTCATGCCGTAGGCAGAGCCTCCACCTTCACCGGCAGCGGCAGTCAGCTCCTTCCTCTGAAACTCCTCTTGAAGGACTTGAGCACGGATCCACTCAAGGGACCATGAGTCCTTCATGCCATTGAGGTTGACCACCAAGGGACCCCACGACTCCGGCAGCAGGGAGAGAGCCTTGTAGCACTTGATCTTTTCAGGGTAGTCCACACCAGCAGCTGAGAGCTTCACATAGAGGTCCCGAAGTTGATCGAACGCTCCTTGCACGGCATCACCCTCGTTGATCTTCACCGCATGGAGTTGTCGCTCGAGCACCACCACCATCGCTTCGCTGCTGGGGGCATGGACATCCTTCAATATTTTCCATGCCTTGGGACCACACTGGATATCCTTGATGAGATGCTTGATGTGGTGCAGCTGGTTGGATGAGAGGCATTGAGAGAGAAGGAAGAATCCATCCTTGGATCGGCGATCCCATTCCTTGGTCGCTCCTTCGCTCGCAAGCCTCTTCAATTCTCCATCCATCACTTCAAGCAGCCCATAATGGTTAAATAGGAGATCCATCCTGAAGCTCCATGATGCCCAATCCTCCCCAGAGAACTTCTCTAGGTTGAATGCCTTCACATCATCCTTGGCTGGTGTTGAAACGGATGCTATTGGTGCAGATCCGCCTACAACGCCTCTTCCTGCTTCCCCAGCGCCTCTCACGCCACCACTGCCACTAGGACCAGCTGGAGCAGAACCTTCAGCCTCCATATTGACCCAGGAACAGAGAAGAACCGCTCTGATACCACTTGTTATAGTCTAGAGTCCACTTAGGGGTCGCGGATGCCCTTGAAACCGCCTAAGCAGAATCTGATGACTTCAAACCGCCTCTGTTCAAAACGCCGTCACGATCAGCTCCAATAACATACGAGGCTGAAACTTGGAGGAAAGTTTTCTTCAGATGTCTGCTTTCCAACGGTGTATTGCTTGCTTTCATCTGAGGTGTATGCGCTACGCAGTGAACGAAAACGTAAGCTTGGCTGAAAAAACGTGTAGCTTCATTGATGCAAGGAAGAGGTGAGTACAACATTGCCTAGGGGACTCTTAAGAGGTTGGGACCATCCTGGGAACTGAGAGAAGGTTGAGTCCTAGGGGAGAAAGGCTAGAGAAGGATGGGAAACGTCCTAGCTAGGTCAGCAAAGCCAACCACACTTGGATGTTCAGAGCTGTACTCAAGGCTACCAATAGTGAGTCAAGCCAACCATGAGTCAGCTTGTCTTCCCACTTGCACCCTCTTGCAAGCTGCTTCCAGGAAGACCAAACTTCTCAAAAGGAGGGTGATAGAGTCCCACTTGACCACCTGTAATTCTTGTCTCATTCTCTGTCCCTGCACCATTGGCATGACAACAATGAAAGGGTGGCAAGGGAAATGCTGCCAACAGTGCACCGTGACTACGGAACAGTAACTTTCGACAGCTGTCACGTGCTGCTCCGATGCTGGGTTGTCCTGAACCTCGGTGACCACCTGCACAACACGGCAAAGGACTGCCACACCGATTTTCAGACCAATCAGAGCTTGGTAGATGAGTCAGCAGCCGAAATGGTGAACTCGGGTGTTACCAAAAAAGAGTAACACACACTTCCGGGATGTCATAAGTCTTGAAACTAAAAATGTTGCCATGCCTTGTAAACTGCTTAAAAAAATCTGAAACTTTGAGGGTGTGAAGATCACATGTTGAAGCACCTCCCCACAAAATTCCAGAAGCTGAGCAGGCTTGTAGGCTGAATGGGAGTGCGATGACCGTGCCACTATAGTACTTTGGCACAACACCAAGGCCCCGCTCGCACTTGTGCACATGGATGTGGTGGGCCCTACGAAAGCCCCTTCTCTCTCGGGAAGCCGCTACTTCTTAACCATTGTGGATGACCACACACGTGCGGTGTGGGTGTACCCTCTCAAGACTAAAGGGGAAGTGGCAGCGGCTGTTCTTAAGGAGTGGATGCCGAGAGCTCAAAGGGAGAGCGGACACAAGGTGAAAGTGATCCGCACTGACAACGGGGGAGAATTCATTAGCGCTGATTTTGAGGCGGTGCTGAAGAAGAAGGGGATCCAGCATCAGCTCACGGTTCCCTACAACCCTCAGCAGAACGGCGTGGCTGAGCGCTTCAACCAGACCCTGCAGGAAGGTGCTCGCACTCTCCTTGGGCGCGCAGGGCTGCCGGATCCGTTTTGGGTGACTGCACTGCGGCAGGTTGCCCTTGTGAAGAACAGGGTGTTGGCGACTGTGGGGGACAAGCAGTGGGTCCCCTACACCAAGTGGTATGGGAGTGCACCAGCAGTCAACATGCTGAAAGCCTACGGCTGCATGGTGGTGTTTCATGTGCCTAAGTAGAAGAGGGGAAAGTTGGAGGCTTCTGGGAGATGGGGAGTACACTTGGGGCTTGCTAAGGATCATAAGGGCTGGTTGATATGGGACTTGACCAGCCAGTAGCTGATTGTGTGAAGGGATGTGGAATTCCTTGAGTCCTTGTACTACAAGGAGTGGAAGCACCAGCAGCAAAAGCTTCCTACTATACCGCTGATCATTGAGGCCAATGAGGTGCAGCGGCCTTCGAGGCAAGTGCAGGTCACTATCTCAGATGAGGAGATCTCTGGGGTGACTGATGATGGGGGAGAACCTGAGGTAGAGGAGCAGCAGCAGCAGCAGCAAGATGCTCCAACACGTACCCAACGTCCGCCAGACCGTCCTAGGAGGGATGTGCGCCCTCCTAACAGGCTGACCTATCCTATTTTTGGAAAGCCAAAGGTGGTACGGACTGGGATTGTGGCTGAGCAGTGTCATGAGGATGAGATAGCACACTGCTACTGGGAAGCTGTCCCTGAGCCCAAGACGCTAGCTGAGGCCTTGAGTGGGCCCGATGCTGAGAAGTGGAAGTAGAGTGTGAAGGAGGCGTATGACTCTCTGCTGGAGAATGAAACGTGGGATTTGTGTGAGCTGCCTCGTGGGAAGAAGGCAATCTCTTTGAAGCTGATCTTCAGGCACAAGTATGGACCTGATGGGGAGCTGACCCGCTACAAGTCAAGGCTTGTGGCCAAGGGGTTTCAGCAGACAAAGGGGAAGGACTTTGACGAGATCTTTGCTCCTGTGGGGAAAGGGACTACACTAAGGGTGATGTTGGGAATGGCTGCAAACCGCGGATGGAGGATCAAGCAGATGGACATCACAACTGCTTTCCTCAATGGGATCATCCTAGAGGAGCTGTACATGCTGCAGCTTGAGGGGTTGGATGATGGGAGCGGCAGGGTGTGCAGGCTCAAGAAGGCCATCTATGGCCTGAAGCAGGCTCCTCGTGCATGGTACCACAAGCTGGAGGAGACACTGCTGGCTGGGGGTTTCAAGAAGAGTGAGTGTGATCACAGCTTGTTCTTGCTGCAAGAGAAAGAGCAATTCCTCATGCTCCTCGTGTATGTGGATGACATCCTTCTCTTCTCTGAGTCGTCTGCAATGATTGAGTGTGTGGAGAGGATGCTGGAGATGCCGTTTAAGTGCTCGAAGATGGGAGATGTCAAGTATTACCTGGGGATGCTTGTGGAGAGAGACCTTGACAAAGGAGTGTTGAGGTTGCACCAGAGGAAGTACTGTGAGGGGCTGGCTGAGAAGTATGGGCTGCAAGATGGAGGAAAGACAGCCACCCCACTACCTTCGGGTTTCACTGTGGAGCCTTGTGCTGATGAGGAGGTGGTGGGTGAGAGTGGCAGGAAGCTGTTTCATTCCATGGTGGGGGCACTCAACTATGCAGCAAACCACACGCGGCCTGACATTGCCTTTGCTACATCCAGGCTTGCTAGTGTGGTCTCACGCCCCAGTCATGAGCAGCTAGAAGCGGCCAAGAGGTTGGTCCGCTATGTGAGTGCTACAGCATCTGTGGGTTTGGAGTACAGTGCTGTGCGACAGAGGCTGCAGAGGGGTGCAGCTGATTTGAGCAAGGGGGGGATGCTCTTGACTTGCTACACCGACGCTAGCTTCAACTCTGTAAAGGCGGATGGCACCAGCATTGGAGGCTATGTGTGCTTGTTTGGAGGTGGTGCAGTGAGCTGGCGCAGCAAGAAGCAGAACGAGGTGGGGCTGTCCTCGTGTGAGACTGAGTACATGGCCCTTCATCATGGGGTGAAGGAGGTGGTGTGGCTGAGGCATTTGTTCGAGGAGATCGGAGTGTGCCAGAGGGAGCCGACAGTAATGTTTTGTGACAATGAGTCGGCTGTGAAGCTTGCAAAGAATGCATGTCTTCATGGCCTGACAAAGCACATCAGGCCAAAGTGGCACTGGGTGAGGAGGCTCCTGGTCAAGGAAGTGTGGTTGGAGATAGTGAAGACCCAGCAGCAGGCGGCAGACATTCTCACCAAGCCCCTGGCTGAAAATGAGCATTGGAAGGAGATGAAGCTTGCTGGAATGAGTGTGCATTGAGGGTGCATGCTTGAGCTATGGCATGTGGGATGATGGTAGGCAGCAAGAGGGGGAGTTTTTTCTGTGATGCTATCATTTGCATTCACGTCTGTCTGCCTCCCATCATATGTTCGTGTGTTGCATGTGTGGTGTGAGCGTGTGCAAGAATTTGTGTTTGGTGTTGTTTGGATTTTCTGAGTGTGTGTGAATGTTATTTGGCTTGAGCAGAAATCTGAAGTGACTCCTCTGCTCAAGAGCTTCCCGACGAACCGAGAATCGCCTTGATCGGAGCAAGAAGGAGAAAGATATGATCGTTCAAAGTTTTGATTGAGATGCGGCGACTATGGGAAATTGCGGGTTGACTCAATATGGGGTACAGACTTTTGGGGGTTGGGAAATTCATCACCATCACTGTAGATGATGCCAAGTGGTTGGGAGAAGCCAAACCAGGTTGGCAAGTGTGGCCAAGTTGGGTGAGGTGGATGGCATGAGTTGGGAAAGTAACAAATGTCAAAGTTGGGGTGCCTATAGAGAGGAGAATTGTGTGGTATGGGGTTTCCTTGGTTGGGGACTCCCTTGGGACCTTCCCTCTCTTCTTCCTCATCCCCTCCTACCTGGTTTAATTGCTACTCCAACTTTCTTGTGTGAACTTGTGAGATAATTGTGATTGAGTTACGTTTTCTATGGCAGCATACCCCCTAGTGCGCCGAAATTCATAACTCGAGTTATACTCCATATTTTGATAATATTCAAATTGGGCCAGATAGCCACGGTTAAAGGCTACAAATACTCGAGTTTGAGAGAATTCTAACTGTGCATTAATCGTCGACGACGTTTCTTGTGAAGTCGACAATTCTGTCCAGAATTGAAGTTGACGATTTTGAGATATCTCGGCCCTTAATCTTCATAGACTCCATCCTTAGTCTCCAACAGCAGCGACGTGCAGCAACACCCGAAGAGTAGTCATCTTCGGGGTGGGGGAGAAGGTCTGGAAGTTGTCAACTCCCTGTCGCTGACTGAAGCCTCGAGCAACGTAACACGCCTTGAAGGCAGGCGGAGAACCCGGCGGCCGCTGCACCCTGAAAATCCACATGCCATCGACTATGTTCGCCCGAGACGGGGGAACTTCATCGACGAAGGTGCCTGTGGACTTCCAGGATGCCATCTGGGCATCCATAGCTGCCTGCCACTAAGAGGAGTAAGGACCCGTAATCGCCTCTGCGTAAGAGCGCGGGGTCGGGATGTCTGGAGCATCCGGGTCTCCCTCAGGGGTAAGCAGCATGGAAGCGAAACGAGGTACAGCAGCTGCAAGACACTCAAAGTCCTCCTGCCTATACTCAAGGACGTCCGAGCCAAGAGCACACTCACCCCCGACGGACGGAGGACTGGCAGGCACAGACTCAGCAACTAGAGCAGTGGCGTAGTCGAGACGGTAGGCAGCAGCAAATTCAAGCAGCTCAGCAACGAGAGCAGACGCAGTAGCAGACTCAAAGAAAGGGTCAGTAACAGCAGTGGTGAGGAGATGAGAGACGGTGGGACTGGCAGCACGAGCGCGGTCAGACGCAGGGTCATGGACCTTAGGAAGAGAGGACTCAGGAGGAGCAGGCAGAGGAACACGCAGTGGAACAGAGGAAGGACGGAGTGCCATAGCGTGTGTGCCGGGGACAGGAGGAGGACACGAACGAGGAGCGCGACGAGCAGTGCAAACAGGCGAGACAGGACGAGACACAGGCTCACGACGCTCTGTAAGACCGCCGGACTGCTCAGTGTAAGGAGAGGGAGCAGGCAGTGGGGAGGCCGGCTGTAACGGCAGCAGCGACTGGTCAGGCGTTGGACACAGGAAGGGAGGAGGAAGACCAGTAATAGACGGGACACCCAGAACCTGCTGAAGCAGGGGAACGAAGTTCGCTCGCGGCCGCACAGTGCCTCCAGTACCTCCAGTGCCAGGGTCAACAGCTCCAGCTCCTGCAGCTCCAGCGTCTCCGGCGCGAGTGCCTCCAACTCCAGCTCCTCCAGCTCCAGTTCCTCTAGCTCCAGCGCCTCCAGCGCCAGCTGCTCCAAGCTCCGTAGGGTCTCCAGCTCCAGCGCACCCAGCACCACCAATCCCGGAAGCTCCAGCACCACTGGTACGAGCACCCCCAGGACCAGTAGCCGCAGTACCTCCAGTACCGCCAGCTCCAGCAGTAACAGCAGTACTTCCAGCTCCAATGTCTCCAGCGCCTCCAGCTCCGGGAGCTCCACTCCAACGGTGTGCGCGCCGAACAAGCCACTCATGCAGCTGCTGCGAGGATAGTCACGGTAAAGCACCAGCAGGACCTCCACACAAAGCAGCACCCCGAGGCTCAGCACCCCCAGACTCCACACCCTCCGACTTAGCACCCCCAGACTCAACACCCTCAGGCTCAGCACCCCCTGGCTCAGCACCCCCAGACCCAGCACCCTCAGACCCCTCACCCCCCGGCTCCGCACCCCCAGACACAGCACCCCCAAACGCAGCACCTGGAGCAGCACCTGAGCCGACAGCTACCTGAACAGGCGCTGTACCAGGGAGAGGGTCTACCTGAGACACACTCGAGGGAGCAGGACCCTAGGGCGGGAGGGGGTCTACCAGAGGTTGACCGGGAGCAAGGAAGAGCGGCGGGGGCGGGGGAGGGGCAGAGCGGTATGGAAAGTGACCGTAGAAGGGAACCGACTCGTCGAACATGACGTCCTGAGACGGGAGGACACGGTGCGAGGTGAGGTGGTAAAACTGCCAGCCAGGCACGTCAGGGACAAAGCCAAGGAAAACGCAGGGAATGGCGCGGGCGGAGAGCTTGTCCGCGGACGTATCGCGAACAAAGGCACGAGAACCCCAGACCCGGAACACCGACGCATCACCAACCTTCCCCGTCCAACGCAATGTGGGCGAGGTCTCCGGCAAGGAGACACAGTGCCAGAGGTTGAGCTGATGCGCAGCGTACCGGACCGCAAACGGCCACAGAAAATGGGCCGCAGCCGCATGGATCATGGAGGTACGAGCGACCTCCATGACTAAGCCAATGCGGCGCTCAGCAATCCCATTTTGCTGAGGGGAGGCCGGATGCGTGAACGACTGGAGAATGCCCTCCCCACGACAAAAGTCCCGCAAGAGGTCGGAGGAGAACTCACCACCTCTGTCAGAGTGCAGACGTAGGACAGGAAGGTCCGTACCGAAGCGCTCGCGAAGCTGGAGCCGGATTGTGCGGATCCAAGGGATCAAAACATCAACGACTTCACCCTTGCTGCGCTAAGGGAAGACTGTGGTGTACCACGTGTAGTCGTCGACGACCAGCAAAAAGTAGCGCTCGCGGTCCTGTCCACTGACGCGGGCTGGGCCCCACACGTCCATGTGGAGAGTCTGAAGGGGAGCAGTCGTCGGGGGAAACGAGGAGGAGTGAGGAGCGGCGCGCTGCCGCCCCTCGACGCAAGGAAGGCAGGGCAAGGCAGGTGAGGGCGGGAGGGGAGGCAGAGACCTGGGTAGACCAGAGACGAGAAGCCGGGAGTGCATGCCACGAAGGCGTGGCAGGGAGGGGTGACCCAGGCGGTGGTGCCAAAGAAGAGTCTGGTGCGACAGGACGCGACACTTGCAAGAGGCGGCTACCTGACCTGACGCGGACACCTGAGCAGACGCAGCGACTTGAGGAGGCTTGGTAGCTAGCGTGTACAGACTTGACCCTGGCCGACGAGTGAACGTAGCCAGGTGACGCCCCGTCCGTGTGCACGTGCAGATCGACACACGCTGACCCCCAGGAGTGGTGGTAGTGACCATCGCATCCTGAAAGGCAGCGGTACTCACCAAGTTCGTAGAGAACGAGGGGAGGTGAAGACCTGACAGTGAGCCGGACGGAACCGTCGGACACGGGAGGACAGTGAAGGAACTGGCCACTACCGGGCCCCCGGAGGGGTCAGCCAGTCTGACCGGGACAGGTGCAGGGAGAGGAGTGAGAGTGGTGCTGTCACGAAAGAAACAGCGCGAGGTGCCGGAGTCCAACGTGAAGGTGTGCAAGGCCTCAGCAGGCGCAGTACTAGGGAGAGTACCAGACTCACTAGCACCTAGAGCAGCAGCCGCTATACCTGGGTCAGGTGGCACACATCGGTAACAGTCACCCTCAGCACTAAAAGACAAAGCATACATGGCAGAGATAATAGCATCACAGTCTAGGTCAAAGATAGCAACTCCCGACCTAAACAAATCCGTCCAGCGAGGGCGCTCGACGTCGTCACCAAACTCAGCACGCCAGGCGTCGTCAAGGTGGGAGAAGCAGCGGTGCTCAGTGTGAAACTTCCCGCATGTCTGGCCCGCACGGACACCCGTGCGAATGACATACGGGCAGGTCTCACTACCCCCACCCGTCCCACGCTAAACCAACCACTCACGGAGCTGCTGGGGCGACTGGGTCTCGCTTTGACGCTGCTGCTGCTGTCGCTGGCCACCACCAGGGCCTCCACGCTGAGGTCCAGACCTGCCACCACCAGTCCCACCGCCTCCACTGCCGCCACTCCCACCGCTGCCTCCACCGCCGCCACCAGAGCCCCCACTGCCGCCACTAGTCCCATCGCCGCCCCTACCACTGCTCCCACTGCCACCTCCACCACCACCGCTGCCACCTCCACCACCCCGGCCACCCTTGCCCTTGCTGTTGCGGCGCTTCGCACTAGTCGAAGCAGCACCGACGTCCTCAGGAACAGAGACGTCTGCAGCAGCAGCAGAGGCGAAGGAGGGGGAAAGGGGAGAGGGGGAGCACCCCTCAAAGAAGGGCGGGCGCGGAGTGCCACGAGCAGCACCTACAGCAACTGCACTGGTCTCATCTGCGAGGAGATGCTGCTCGAGGAGGTCAACAGTGAGGGAGGTAGGGTCAAGGGAGAGAAAGTGGTCCCTGACAGAGCGAAGAGAGTCAGGGAGGCGAGAGACAATGAAGTAGAGGGTGATGAACATGGGGGGCTGTTTCGTGGCAAGGAACTCAGCAGGGACGGTAGCACGGTAGCGAGCGTCACTAGTGCAC